TGCCGAACCATAAAGATATATATATATATATATATATATATATATATGTACATAAAGATATTAAAATGACATTAAATGATTTATAAGTGCAGAAAATTACAAATTACATAAGTAAGGCAGGTTATTAAAAAAAATAAGTAGGTATGTCTGTGTATATATTAGATTCGATTCAACAATCAGCTGACGTCAGCTGATCGTGATTTGACACTGAGAGAGATTGGCACGGAAGGGCAAGAGAGGCAAGAAACATATATGTATCATTTCGTCAGCCGTATGTGTTTTCAAAATACACGACGTAAACAGGCACGAGACAGCATCGTCCATGATATATCGCCGGATTGAGTAAATTAAACTTTTTGCAACGAACAATTTAAAAAATCGGCACGTCTCTAACCTTAAAATATTCAACTCCCGTTGCGGCGAACAGATTATCCAGCGACACGAATTCCGGCGGCTGCCTATGGTGTTCCAATCTTTGATCAGCATCGCTGCTGTCCATGTACCAGGCGCGTACCATAGTTCCGTATGAACAATAACAACAAAAATCGATATTACGCCGAATGGCAATGATGTCGGAGATCGGACTTCTGCGTTTTAACCAGACAGTAAAGGCTGATTTATAGAGGCCGCCCGATAAAAACAGTCACGTCACATCCACGTCGAATCCACGCGCCATACTCAGCGCTTTCCTTCGTTTACGTTATTGTATTCCACAGTTAAAAATCTTTCGAAGTATTTGATACATAACAAAATATTTTTGATAGACATATAAAGCTAACATAGACGAATCGCTTTTTTTTAATTGAAACAGTTTGATTTATCTATTTCGACTTTCTCTTCCGAAATACAAGCAGTCCTAAAAAATTAAAAGATATAAGTCAATATATTATATATTAAAAATTAAATTGTATTCATACTAATATTTATTAGAAATATTTCTTCGCAATTTGACTTTAATTTCTTAATTAAAATCAGTCAAAATCAATCAACTACGCTGATATTAATATTGGATATAAAATATTCTATTTTCGCAGCAATATTTCTTTCCATCCTTTTCTTTTTCGTATTTCTTTTCTTAAATAAGCAATTGTTTATAGTATTTTCATGATACTCACTATTTAAGCAGGGTCCACATTATCGAGCCAAACCGCGAACCGAGTCCCGAACCGAGCCTCGAGCAGAACTTGCAGACGAACCTCAAATCGAACTCCATCGCGAACCGCGAACATGAGTTAAAATTTTTTGAAGTCAAATCTCGTATTGAAATTTATAATAAAATTTATATAAATTCTTAATACATGTATGCAAAATGCATATTTATATTTACAATCGTATTTTTTAACATTGCAATATATATATTATAAATTTATTGCGTATTTATCACAGGTTTAGAGTATGTTTATGCAATATTAATTCTAAATTTTGTTTTATGGTTTGAAAAGGAATTAAGTTTTGAATACAGAAAAATAATAAAAGCACATATACATATATTCACTCACCTTTTCCTGTTTCCATACTTTTTTTATTTTTGCTTTTTCTTTTTGCAGAGATGCCAATAATGTCGTCATCTTTTTTTTGCACATGTCACTATCACATTCGAGTTCTTTACTTATTTCTTCTTATAAAAAAAGTATGAGAACAGGAAAAGACGACTAAATATGTGTATACATATGCGTGCTTTTATTATTTTCTTGTATTCAAAGCTTAATTCCTTTTCAAACCATAAAACTATATTTAGAGTGGTACCAACTATATTTAATATTGCACAAACATACTCTAAATTCTATGATAAATACGCAATAAATTTATAATATATATTGCAACGTTAAAAATACGATTGTAAATATAAATATGCATTTTTTTAATTGTTATAATGTTCGGGATTTTTAGCGTCCCGTATATAATAATCTTTTCTGCTCATAATCACTAATTAATTTTAAACATTTTTTATCAGACCATTCCATTTTGTCTACCAGTAGTCGTGTAGACTGCACATACGTGGATAGAATCAAATACAGCGACTGGGCAATTACTCACGTTTTCTTTCATCGTTCACTTTTTGTTTTTTGTCATTATTTGTCTAGCTCGAAGCTTAACTACCAGTCTACCACCCGACAAAGCGTATAATCTGATCATAAAAAGCATCTTTTGATGTTTCGTCAGAATACCGACTTTTGGTGGGACACTGCGAGCCAAACCGCGTATCATCAAAATCCTTGCAGATTCGTGGGGTGAGTACGCGATGGTTCGCACTGATGTTCGATTCGAGGTTCGCGAGCCTCGCGCGAGTCCGTCGGCTCGACAATGTGGACGCATGATCGGCTCGCAACGAAGTTTGGCTCGCGGTTCGGCTCGATAATGTGGACGCATGATCGGTTCGCGGCGAAGTTCGGCTCGCGGTTTTGCTCGATAATGTGGACCCTCCTTTTTAGAATAGTCGCTCCCAGCAGTACGGCTTTTATTTTCACATCGAGATCGCGCGGAAAGTTAATGCCGAATTTATCCGAAAAGTTGAACATCTCTTGAGAAAAGCCTCTCCAATGTTTTCGAATCATACCGACGACGTGCTGCTCATCCACAGATTTGACCTGCGGATTTAATTATTGACGAACAATGCTAAAAATCCTTTTTACGCAACATATGCCAAGTTTTGTAATATTATATTATTTATTATTATTTATTCTTAAGTTTTGTATTTTACTTTCAAAGATCTTCCGAAAACTCGAAATTAATTTTGAGAAAAAACAATTTAAAAAATGTTAATATGATATGTGTAATAAATAATGATAATGATGATATATATAATTAAATATCATAAGTGGCATAAATTTTGTAAGATATGGAATGTTGCAATACCTCAAGAATTGAGTCACTACATAAAACAGCAGATGGTCTTTATCATCAATACTGGCTGGCCGAATGCATCGCGAATATAAAACTTTACTCGCAGAAAACCCCACTCTTTAGTAACGGTGCCCAATAGAGTACCTCCGGAATGCACTTCTATAAAGCTTACGAAAAAAAACTGTCATCTGCTAATCAAATCTATGGTTATAATTAAACTTAAAAAATAAAATTTATCGATAATCTAAGATTTGTTCTCATATACGTACGTAAGGATTTATTTCACAGTCGTATTTAATATTGGAATTTTAATAAAATAAGTTACGAGACGAATTTGATTCCAATTATTTAGCAATTACATGTTTAATTTTTATTGCGTTCTATACCCTTTTAGACATACGCCATAAGTAAACAAATAAATACATTATTTGCCGAAATACATGCTAAATAGGAAATCGGCATTGTCACTTCTGTTTAGAGTGTATTGATCGGATCTTTCAACGTTTACTTTCAAAGTTTCGTCAAAAGGTAAACTTAACAGATGGCTTGCACATGTAAAGAAACTTTGGTAGACACGATGCAAGACAGCAGTCCTCATCTCGTTTTTAGACTTATTGTTATGTCCAATATCATTTTTCTTATTTTCTTGTAATTTAGTATAAAATTGTACAATAATTTAAAATAAATTTAAAAAAAGATTATCTATAAACTTTACGTTCCATTGCTATATATTTAATAAGAAATTCATTATTATGAATAATAATAACTTAGTAAAAAAAGAAGAATTTACTTCAAATTATTATTTTTAGAATATATTTTTCTTACTTCGAAATTTTAAATTTATTCAGAATTAAGTTTGCTAATAAATTTAAATATTAAATTACAAATCAAACTTATAATTTTCATTTTTAATCTGAATTCTAAAGTTTACTAAATATATTAAATGTTATAAAATTTTTAGACGTTAATTGATATGAAACATATCAAACTTATTGATTTTTTCTTTTAAGGAAAGAAATTTAAAAATAAATTTCTTGAAGAATGCAACGATGGAAGATATATTTCTTTTCTGATTTCTAAGATATTTCGTCTAAAGATAGCCCTAACAAATGTATTGAATAAACTCTAATGACAAAAACTACCTTAATATATCGTAGAGTTAATTAACGCAACAAATTGAATAATGATTGTTGTTATAACTCATATTCGAGACTGATATGTAATATCAGATAATACGAGTTTAATCACATGAGAAAAACGTTATTGACCTTTCATACAATTACTCGCGTAATTAATTAAACATTAAAACATGGTGTGTATATATATATATATATATATATATATATACACACACACATATATCTATATCTATAGATAAATCACTTTTATACGATATACATTACAATTATAATTACAGTTATACATAAATACGCTATGCGGTAAAATAAATTGTAAAATAAGTTTTGCAATCCCATATTTTCAGAATTTGATATTGTGATTTCAATAGTAATTCTACATTTCGGAAATAGACAGAAATAGAGACTTCTGGAATTTTTATTATCAATTACGTTGATTTAAACTTGAGGGGAATTATACATCATTGTCAAGGTCGAGAAACATATACTGCCATGTAAGTCAGTCGCATGTGTTTGCAAAATACATGACACAGGCAGGCAGAAAGTCTTCGACATCGTATTAGTTAAGTTCGAACATTCGCATCGAGCGATCTCAAAAATCGGCATATTCTTAATCTTGAAATATTGGAGGTGAATTGCTGCTAACAGATTGCTTAGTGACGTATATTCCGCTGGTGACCTGTTATATTCTAATCGTCAATCAGAATTACTGTTGCTGTCTACTTATTATATATAACAAGTGCGTATCATAGTTTTGTTTGAACAATAATAACAGAAAATCGATGATATTCTATACCATGCAATGGAAATAAAATTTATACATTTAAAGGCATCATAGCAATTCGCTAATTGTAAGGTTGTCAGCAATAAAGGAATTCCGCAAGATATACGATAAGAATAACAGAATGCTTATTGACGATTAAATTGTTTGTAACGACAAAATAGGTCAACTTTGAATGCCAAAAATTTTTCTTAAATCTAATACCTAACAACAAAAATTTAATAGATCTAAATTTATTCGTGTTATATTATAAGACTCTTAAAAAATAGAGAGAAAAAAGAAACAATCTTTTTTAGTTTCTGTTTTCTTATTATTATTGTGTTATATAATAACAATTTTATAATTTCTTTAAAACTTATGTATTCAGAATCAAAAGTAAAAATATTCTTCTGTTCTGATGTAGCTAAGTATGAAATATACTTGCTCTGAGCTTCTTCTTTTTTATCACACAATGAATAAATAATAAGTTACAGAAAAAGAACATGAGGGAAAAAACTTTACGCGAATCCAATTTCATTTTTTACACTTGAACGAAAGCATTTAGATACTCTTTTTACTTTACATTAATGCGATGCATTTATTTATTTCAATCTTTCAAATACGAAGGAAATTATATATCTATTAATTTTAATTGCAATTTAATAACTGTTTATACTTTTAATTTTAGTTTTTTGGGCATTTACTTTAATGGAATTTATGGGAGCATTAATTAAAGAAAAAAATATGTGTTACGATTAATATTATTACATGCTTTTCTTGTATGTTTTATCTTATTAACATTCCATTTTTAAGATTATATAAATGCTGTATTATACATATATGTATAACATATATTATGTTTTATGTATATTACCGTCTGTTTATATTTTATCATATTTGAGATCAGCTACTAAAATCTTCTTATTTTTAAAATTATTTTATTAGGTTTGCTCAAGATGATTATAGATAGAATTATAGACAAAATAGGTACCGTCTTATTAAAGCTAGAGCTACAACACAGACAGTTGAAGCGTCTCACATTAAGCCCGAACGCCATAATCGAAATAATAAGGACGGTTAAGGACGCTTTGAATGACAGTTTACAATTCAAAATGTATGATATTAAGTTATTCGTTGAGTACAGCAGTTTCGAAACAAGGAGTGATATCTCATTATATACCATGTGTTATAACTATTTTCTATTGAATACGAATTTTTCCTCGCGGCACCTTCTCAGGAAGGACATAATGTTCGGCCACATAGTTGGTTGCTGGCCTACTTTATCACCTTATCTCTTCCTGATGGTAATTACTAATAATTATATATTACAATAATGCTGATTAATAATTAATAATTAATAATCAAAAATAATTAAAATCATATTAATATTCTGAATAAAAATAATATCCTGAATACGCTGCAGATTGAACGCTGACTATCGTCCGATACTATATTTTTGATTTTTTTTCTAGTCAATTTGCGTATGTGTAGGAGATGCTTGAAATATTATATATATTTTCGTATCTTCTACTATAATCTTGACATAGTTTGTAAAATATTAATATTATTACAAAAACGATCTCTTTTATTTTATCATATAACTTCATATAGTTTTTGTGACTATCGGATTATAATGCATTATTTTTTATTATTTTATACATATATACATTATATTAATAATTATAAGTTATGTATTACTATTATTTCTAATATAATTTATTTATATATAGATAATATGGTGCTCGAATTGTGAGGACTTACTGGTTGAATCGCTTGTGCATATACCTTTGGACCTGTGCGTCGAGATCTTGGAAATAACGATTAAATACATATTAGGTAGCAAATTGAAAAACTCACGAACCAGACGCTTACATTACCTTCTAATTTACAAAATATACTATAAATGCCTGTGGTTGCATTTAGGCACTGTATCAGAAAATGTGATTAAACGCATTAATCGATTAACAATGTATTTTGAAATGTTGTGTGACTGGCTCGTCAGTTTTAACAATGAGTTTGTTACTTCCCATGAATTATCTACCAAGGAGAAGAACGTACGACATGGTATTATAGTGAAAAACTTGTTTCGCTGTATCAGAAAGTGCATGCACAGCAAAATTGAACGTTACTCGGAGAATCATAATCTAGCGAAACTGTTCCCGCTTACATACGGCAACTGTGATGAACAAATGAATTATTATCACTTGATTCCTGCCAACAAAATAAAATCCATTGTAATGAGATTTGACCAGCAACTGGAGACTCTACTTCTGAAACACATCAAGAACATTAACTTTTTCGAATTCATGGCCGGAGAGAACATCAACGATAATGAGAACCCTACAATCTCACTACAAAATGCCATTGTTATGGAATGCCACTATTTTATAAAATTCATGAAACGGAATGAATTTTTGGCAAATGAGGTTCTGTTTAACTGTCTGGAGCAACTTACAAGTTCAAGGAAATCCGAGAAGTCTATTTTAACTGTTCAAGAACTCTGTAATGACATCGCCAAAGGCAGACCGCATGGTTTAAAAGAATTGATTAAACGGTATAAAGAGTGGGACTTGTCTACGTTGGATTTTCTAAATAAAAGGATAGATATGTTGAAAACTGACGATTTGTATGTTATACTCAAATATCTCCATCATATATTCGCATATCCGCATACTGAGGCAGAAAAACACCGGGTTTACATATCGGTATTAAAAATATTGATTCGGCTAGAAGATCCCGATATAAACTTCATTATAGTAAAATACATAAAGGAATACTTTGACGACAAACGTCTAGAATGTCTGTATGATGAGAGTTGCCTTGATGCATTTATACGACGTATTTCATATGATGCCTTGTTGTACCCAATACCTCCTGATGACATGTCTGGTCAAGATAGACGTGCTCTGATTATTTTTATTCTGTTAAACCCGAAGGATGTGTTAAGCAAGCTAATATATAAGATAAATATTGAATTATCCAGAAGCATGTTCTTCCCCTATTTCGTGCAAGAGTGTTATGAAGTCCTCATTGATCGATACAATGTGCTGATGCATATTTTAAAGGATATAATTTTGCAACGGCGCATGATATGGCACTCACGGTTTGCATCATTTTTGAATAATATTCTTTTATTTAAGGTAATGTATTACGTTGTAAATAAAATAGGCATGAATAGGAATTATAGAATTTCAGATGACAGCAATGAAATAAACATTAGAGGGGTAAATTTTTATCGAATGTTTAGATAAAATTCTAGTAAAAATTTAAATTTTCTGCACTCATATTATATTCTAGTAGTGATTCGGGGTTTTGGGAAACAGCATATTATGCCATACATTGATACATTATTTTTTTTTCTAAAATTGCGAAACATTTGCACGAGTAATTTCATTCGTATAACGAACTTTTTCAAAGATACCCGGGAAAGAGTTTCTTATATGTATATAATTATATACGATTATACATAAAATACTTGAACGCAATTTTATTTTTTATAATAAAACAATACGAATGCATTTATCTCTAATTACTTTTCAATTATTTTTATTGTGTATCATATATATATGTATATATATATGTACAAAGATTATACACGAAGAAGAAAAAATATACATACATATTTTATATATAATTATACATCAAAAATTTCTATTCGATTATTTATTTAGAGTGTTCCATTTTCTAAATATTTCTGATAATTGATAGGTTAATGTCTTTATAATAATTATTTATATAAGAGATACAAATTTTTTTATTAAAACAAATATTTAATATATTGCTTTATGTATTCTATATAATATTGAGCTTTTTGTAATAAGTTATATTTTTATTCAAATTGGATAATAATTAAACAGATAATAGATCTGGTTGTTAAAGATATTTAAATAACTATCTGTTCAATGAAAATTTGCACTTGTTAATCGAGCTTGAATGGCGGAAATCATTTCTCTTATTTTATTATTACAATAAAATATTATTCTATTTTATATTGTTAACGCCGATTGAAATTCACGTGTTATTTTATCTGCCCATTTCTATATATTTTCTTTAATTTTTACTCTGTTAGAATTCCACTTTAATTTTTTATTTCTAAATTTGTTTACAGGTAATATCTGCGGATGATTTAATGAACGAAATCTACATTCCTTATCTGAATAATAGCTATTTTGAGAAGACTAATGTGTATATTATTCTGTCACATATACTATTTATATTGAAAACTGGAATTTGCACGCCCAAAACTAATTTCGTATTACTAATAATAGTGTTGATCAAGGCGGCATCAGTGCTAAGAAGATGCAACAAAAGTTTTACAAAAGAAGAGATACGTGAACGAATGCAATGTATAAATGATATAATATGGTATCTGCGCGGAACGAATGTGTGGACAGGAATACATAAAAATTTGCTATTCGCAATTGGTTACCATGTGGAACCACTCGATATGCACAAAATGCGGCCGATGAACGTACTAGAAATAATCCAAGAATACGAGAAACGTTGCTTTGTTGTGTATCAACGATTGCGCACGGATCCGCGATGTCATCTCAAGTTGCGCGCTTATGTGCGAACCTTCAACCTCGATCGAGAGGCTTTTTTACGCCACATGATGTTGCATTGCACCAACGAGGAGCACATAATATACGTGTCTGGCTTGATATTCACATTCTGGTATCATTTCGGTTGGGCCAACGAGATAACGGCCTACGAAAATGTAATGCGCATCACCGCCGAAGCGTCGCAAATCGCCGTCATGTATGTAGAGAGATTTCACAGAAACGCATTTTTATCATTGCTGTTCGGACTCGTGATGGTCGGATTATCTGTCGCAAACCGGGCGACGTGCGACAAACATGAAGAAATTCGTCGCATCCTACTGAGAAATCTGTGCTCCATGAATTATATTGTTAGCACAATATGTTGCGATAACAGGTATAATCTTCTGCTCAAGTGCATCCGAAGTGTGGATTTATCTATGGAAATAAAAAAATATTTCAAGAAGCTCTGCGACTTAATTATCATGTACTTTGATGAAATCGATTTTCGACCAACGCCCCCAGTAATAAACTTAGCATGGTAAGTACATGATAATATCTCCATTTTTTCCGAACTTAATTTTCAATTAAATCATATTATTACTCCCTTCTCTCATTTTCTCCTATTTCTTTATTTTACTTAAGCCTGTTCTACAATACGTCGCAAACGATGGCAACTGCTAGTTGAAAAGTGTTATTTCCACGTTGCGCTTGTCAATTGCGGTTGTCAAGAGAGAGTTAACAAACTTTTAACTTTTTTGGCGACAGTAACTGGCAATCGGCAATCAGAAATAACACTTTTCAACTAGCAGTTGCCATTGTTTGCGACGTATTGTAGAACCGGCTTTAATGAGCTCAACTTTGGCATTTTCATCGTTGTTTATTTTTTAGTTCAAAAATGTAAGTATAAAATTGCCATTTCAGCATTTGTGTACTATCAAAAGAATACTTGTATTCTTCAATTCTATAAAATAATACATTTGTAAATAATTCTCCACAATTTATATGGAGAACTTCGGCTTCGCGGAGATGTATATATATCTCTTACCAACTGATCAAATTTATTTTTATCACTTTATTTTTCTAATTTGCATCTTATCAAGGCAGACATACTCTAGTAGCATTAATAAAATTTTAGTGAAACGTTGAATATTTTTATATCACAGACATAGGAAGATATTTTATTGTGCGGAGGCCCTTATGCGCACGCGAATATTCCTGTATTTATATATTCTAATATTTAATATTTATTCTTATTTTGTTTATAATATTATCTTATTATATTAGTATGTGATGGGAAACAAAAAGATAATATGAGATATCTCATAGAGAACCACAACCGTATATATTTATTTCATATAATTGTATTGTAGAAGATAGGATATTATACAAAATAAAATGTAATGTTTATATATTTCAGCATTTGTGTTGAAAAGACGTGCAGCAGATATCGTAATTTCTTTGTTAAGAAGAAAATTCCAGCGATGTACAACTCATACTTGTTTATATGTGAATGCCTCAAGTTATCCAATAGGGAGATGCATTGTTACTCCGAGCGATTACTTCGTAGTTTATGTCTAGAATGATACCTAGATTAGTTTTGTTAAAGCGTGCAAAAAGTATTTACATATTTCGTCTTTTTCTAGGATAATTTTTTATAAAGCAGAACTGAACCATTTCTTTGCAGTGTTCTAATCAAAATATTATACATTTTATTTTTTTTTTTCTATATTGATATATTTTATAAAACATTTTATGCATAAGAATGTTTTGTTTTCTTTGCACTAAATTATAAAATATTTAGTGTAAAAATACTTTTCATTTTAATGTTTATAAAATATAAATCATTATTTTTATGAACTATCTTTTATATTGATCATTTCGTATTTATAATTGTTATTCGTGAAATTACGTGTGATTGATCAAATGTTTTAAAATTTCTATGAAAGCTTTTTAGTATATAACAGATAAGAGTGTAAAAATAAATTTTTTCTGAGAAATGACACAGAAATTACTTTTTTTAAATCATGTTTCTTAGAAATTTTCGAGATATTTGATTAACTTTGCGGAAAATCTCTGTATAATTATTAATAATAATAATATCCTTTTTTTTAATATCCGTACAATTTTTTTAAATTAAATATTAGTTGTAGTATATTGTTGTATCGAAGTGATGTACATCTAGTGACAAGAGAGACAAAGAAATATATTTAGGAAAATTTATTTGTCCCTCAAATAGCATGTAATTAGAATTGTAATTACATTAATTATACTTTGTACTGTATTAGCACTCGGAATCTTTCTTTGTAATTTTCAAGAGTTCTGTGACAAACATATGTACAAATATTGACTAATAAAAAAAATATGAAGATTTTCTTGAATAAAATAAAATAACGTAAACTAATTTGGCACTAAGAGCCAAGCACAGTAATTAATGCATGTATATAATTTATTATTTATTAGACAAATTTAATAAGTTTAGCGTATTGTTATGTCAAAAATTTTCAGAATAATTTGATTTTTGTACAAAAAAAATAATTGTGTAAATAATTTTCTTGAAAACTTGTATATTTATAATTTGGATACTGCTATAACGATACATTTCATTGCTTTTTTTTGTATTTATATCAATCATTATTTACACCTGCCTCGGAAAAAAATGTGTTCTTTCCTTTATACGTATATCAATTGTGTATATACAGTTACATTTTAATAATAATTTTGTATTTTTTAAGATAGAAAAAATATGTACACTAGAAAAAATGTTTTAGATATAATTATATACGTACATCACTACTATCATATAAAATATTATAACAAATATGTTTATATATGTTTTTCTTTCTCTGTACAATTTCTTGTATGTAAGAACAATACAATATAAAAATAACTGAAAAGTCAATTAAAAAGTAATTTTTGCATTGGTCTTTTTACAAAAAGTAAAATTGCTATTCAATTATATAATATTTTATATATAACCACATATAATTATATTTTACATATGATTATTACTTATTACATGTTATTTACACATGATTATATGGATAATTTTTCTTATCTTTTCAAATTCCACTTTCTTGTACAAAAAACAATGCAAAAATTATTCTTTTAGTTATTTAATAACTTTTCTTTTTATTCTTCTTCTCGTTTTCAACAGAGATTATATAAAAGAGAAAGAAAACATATTTGAACATATTTAATATAGATATGACTTGAAAATAATTATTTTTAATTATTTATAATTAAGTCTGGCGACTAATTCCCCCGAGCAATCAAACTGGCAATTTATTTACGTGTTCCTGAGTGATCAATTATCAATATTCGATAAAAATTATGACTTACATATACTATATATGACTTAAAAATCCGGTTTTTTTTCACCTGCGTACCTCTAAACATTCTAGGTACGGCCAGTCAAATGTTCGGATTATCGAAGGAGAGTCGTCCACGCAGGTTAAAACGGAAAATCGTATTTTACAAAATCACTTGGCCAAAAGTGTCGTCAGCTCTCCGACTATTATATTGTATCTCGATGTTGCAAGAGCGACAACCAGTGTAGACAATAAAATCCCAGTTTTTAGAGACGACATATAAATTTAATTACAGAATTTAATTTAAGATCCGCACGAATATAGAAAACGGGCTATAATAATTTGGTCGTTTATCAGAGTCGCCGTACGTAAGCGTGAAGAGTGTCCCTAGATTATGGTTTTCCGAGTAACTTCAATTTTGCTATGCATGCACTTTCTGATATAGTGAAGCATGTTCTTCACTAAAATACCACGTCGCAAGTATTTATTCTCGATAGATAAATCATGGGGAGCAACAAACTGGGGGCTGACAAGTAAGTCACACAATATTTTAAAATAATTTACTAATTGGTCGATTATCACTATATTAATCTCTTATATTGGTATTTAACAAGAATCGAACAGATTGAACAGGATAAATAAATCAATTTTGATTAACAATCAAGGAAAACCGAAATAATATATTATAATTAGTCACTAATATTATATGGAGTCAAATGATGAAATAAGAGGCTTTTTTGTGCAATGATATTAATATTTTACAAACTATGTGTCAAGATTGTAATAGAAGATATAAAGACGATATGATATTTCAAGCATCTCCCATATCCTCATATACAAATTGATTTAAAAGAAAAAGAAATCAACTATAGTATCGAGAGATAGTCAGCGTTTAGTATGTCTGTAGTATATTCAGAAAGTAGTTGTTATTTATTAATTATTAATAATCATTATCAATATATGAGTATTATTAATATATATATGAATTACCTGCAGAAAGAAAAAAGGTAATAGAGTAGGCCAGTAACCAACCATGTGGCCGAATATTATGTCCTTCTTGAAAAGGTACTGTGACGAAAAATTCGTATTTAACAGAATATAGTTATAACACTTAGTGTATAATTGGATCTCATTCCTTATTTCGAAATTGCTGTCCTTAACAAATAACTTAATATTATACGTATTGATATCGAATTGCGTCTCATAAATGTTATAACGTCTATAATCGCCTTTATTATTTCGCCCATAGACAAGGTCTTTGATGCTTCATATGGAGATGTAAAATGTTTCAATTGTCCGTGTTGTAGCTCTTGGTTTAATAAGACGGTACTCATTTTCTCTATAAATCTCTCAATAATCATCTTGAGCAAAAACCTAATAAAATGATTTAAAAGATAAGGAGATTTTAATAGCTGATCTCAAATATTATAAAATGTGTACAGACGGTAATGTACATAAAATATAACATTGTATGTTATATAATACAGCATATGTATAATCTTAACGATACTTCTATAAATTCCCTTAAATTGTCAAAAAAATTAAAATTAAAAGTACAAATAATAGTTATTGCAATTAAAATTAATATATAAATATACAATTTTCTTCGTACGTATTTGAAGATTGGAATAAATAAATGAATCGCATTAATGCAAAGTCAAGATGTAAAACTGAATTTTCATTTAAGTGTAAAAAATAAAATTGGTTTTGCATTAAGTTTCTCTCCTCATGTTTTTTTTCTGTAATTAATTGTTTATTCATTGTGTGATAAAGAAGAGAAAACTCTCTGGTAGTAAGTACATTTCTACCTCGCTACATCAGAACGAAAGTATATATTTTTACTGTCTCAATTCTATATCCCTTACAGAAAAGTATTACTGACTAAATACTTAAAATCTCAGTGATTTAATACTGTCAATATTTATTTGGGAAATACTGGGAAAATACTGGTAGTGATAAATATTATAGGTAGTGATCAATACTACACAGTACTGGTGCTTAGTATTGAATTACTTACCAATATTTCGATTTCCGATATTTACCCGGCATAAAAAAAAATTTTTTTTTTTCAAAATTTTATTACTATTTTATAACTAAATTTGTTTCTTAAGATGCAGTCTATAATTATAAATATTTTCTCGTATTTAAAAAACACTTACCTTGGTGGGATCGAACTCGGGACCTCTGCTTCGTGAGCCAACTGCCTTACGTGGTAGACTACTTCTTAATTTCATGTAAGTGTTATATATAGTCTACATGTGTCATAACCAGCGCAAATATATAATTTTTCAAAAATCATCTTAAGAAACAAATTCAGTTTAAAAAGAGTAATAAAATTTTGAATTGAATATTAAAATAATATCCTCAGTACTATTTCAAAACTTGTACACTTTTATCACGACGAATTAGTAGTACAGACCTTCATATAAAATGTATTTGTGCCTTACTTTTATCTCTTTTCCTTAATATTATCAGGAATTACCCATTATAATAGTTCTATGCAAATTGTAGTACTGGTCAGTGATTAATTTCACATGGAATATTCAGTTCAGTACTTGAGTATTAATATTAAAATACTGGCCAGTGATTTATTACACATGGAATCCTTGGTTCAGTACTTCAGTACTAACATTGAAATACTCATCAGTAATTCAACACAAGTATTTATTATACAAGTATTTTTCACCTAGTATTAAATGCTTTCTCATCAGAAATTTAATACTAAGTATTCAATATTCGTCCTGTATTAAATACTACTTTCATAAATTACTGACTAGTAATAAAATACTGTGCAATACTTGGATCACAGTGATTCAAGTACTAATAAATACTTAATTATAGTATTATTAATACACAAAATAAGTATTTATTATTAACCAGCTAGTAATACTTTTTTGTAAGGGATACATAAGTTTTAAAATAATTTTAGAATTTCCAATTCGTCTATATGTTTAGTCATTACTTTCAAGATCTTGACGCATATGAGGTTCAATGATATATGTAGGTATATACACGAGCGATTATTATTATATAACATATAATAATATAGAATTATATAACATAATAATAATAAGGAAACAAAAACAAAAAAGGATTATTTTTTTTAATTTAAGTGTCCTATATAATGTGACACAAATAAATTTAAATCTATTAAAATTTTTTGTTAGATTTTAGATTTAAAAAAATCTCTTGTATTCAAAATTGACCTTTTTCGTCGTCATAAACAATTTAATCGTCTGCAATAAACATTCTATTCTTCGTATATCTTTCGGAATTCCTTATTGTCGACAACTTTATAATTAGCGAATTGCCATGATGCCTTGAAACGTAGAAATTTGATTTTCATTGCATCGGAATGCCATCGATT